CCCCCGGCTGCCGACCGACACATCGGGGGGGGGGGGGGGGGGGGCCCTGCGTCTGACTAACGCAAGCCCCCCCCCCACCGATGTGTCGGCCACTAACCGGGGGTCCTGCGTTTGTCAAACGCAGAACCCCCAGCCGGTAGGGGACAATCGGGGGGGGTGGGGCGTCGCACGTTTACCAAACGTGGTGGGTCCTGCGTTTGCCAAACGCAGGACCCCCGGCGGGTGCAAGTTTCTATCGCGGAGGGGTCCTGCGTTTGTCAAACGCAGGACCCCCCCTCGCGTTTGGCCCGAGCACCCGCCGGGGGGCCTGCGTTTGGCAAACAAAGGACCCCCCCGTGATTTCCCCGGCAGTCGGCCGGGGGGTCCTACGTTTGGCAAACGCAGGACCCCCGGCGGGTGCTCGGGGCAATCGCGGGGGGGTCCTGCGTTTGGCAAACGCAGGACCCACCAGATGCAGACCTCCCGGGGCAATCACGGGGGGTGCTGCGTTTGCGAAACGCAGGACCCCTCCCGCGATTGCCTCGAGCACTCCACGACACGGGTCCTCCATTTGGCAAACGCAGGACCCCCCAGCCGACTGCCAGGGCAATCGAGGGGGGGGTCTTGCATTTGCCAAACGCAGGCCCCCCGGCGGGCGCTCGGGCCAAACGTGCGGGGGGTCCTACGTTTGGCAAACGCAGGACCCCCCGCGCGTTTTCCTCGGGCACCCGCTGGGGGGCCTGCGTTTGGCAAACGCAGGACCCCCCGGATGCCGACCGCCCGGGGCGAACGCGGGGGGTCCTGCGTTTGTCAAACGCAGGAACCCCCGCGGGACTACTCCGAGAGAACGCGCGTTTTCCCCGGGGCAATCCCGCGGGGGGTCCTGCGTTTGGCAAACGCAGGACCCCCCGCGCGTTTGCCCGGTCACCCCCCCATATTTGTTCGATCCTACGTGGCCAACGACCGATCCTACGTGGCATTACACATAAGGACAATCTCATTTTTGTTGAAAAGTTCGAAAAAAAAAAAGGGGGAGGGTTCAATCCCCCCCCATTAAGGTCAGCGCCTGATCCTACGTGGCATTGCACATAATCACAATCTCAGTTTTGTTAAAGAGTTCAAAAAAACAAAGGGGGAGGGTTCGATCCCCCCCCCCGTGAGGCCAGCGACCGACCCTACGTGGCATTACACATAATGACAATCTCAGTTTTGTTGAAAAGTTCGAAAAAAGAAAAGGGAGGGTTCGATCCTCCCCCAGAAAGGTCAACGCCTGATCCTACGTGGCATTACACATAATGACAATCTCAGTTTTGTTGAAGAGTTCGAAAAAAAAAAAAGGGGAGGATTCGATCCCCCCCCCTTAAGGCCAGCGACCGATCCTACGTGGCATTACACATAATCACGATCTCATTTTTGTTGAAAAGTTCGTAAAAAAAAGGGGGAGGGTTCGATCCCCTTCCACTAAGGCCAGCGCCTGATCCTACGTGGCATTACACATAATCACGATCTGATTTTTGTTGAAAAGTTCGAAAAAAAGAGGGGGAGGGTTTGATCCCCCCCCCATTAAGGCCAGCGACCGATCCTACGTGGCATTACACATGATGACAATCTCATTTTTGTTGAAAAGTTCGAAAAAAAAAAGGGGGAGGTTTCGATCCCCCCCCATTAAGGCCAGTGCCTGATCCTACGTGGCATTACACATAATCACGATCTTATTTTTGTTGAAAACTTCGGAAAAAAAAAAGGGGAGGGTTCGATCCCCCCCATTAAGGCCAGCGCCTGATCCTACGTGGCATTACACATAATGACAATCTCAATTTTGTTGAAAAGTTCGAATAACAAAAAAGGGAGGGTTCGATCCCCCCCCCCTTAAGGCCAGCGACCGATCCTACGTGGCATTACACATAATCACGATCTCATTTTTGTAGAAAAGTTCGAAAAAAAAAAAGGGAGGGTTCGATCCCTTTCTAATAAGGCCAGCGCCTGATCCTACGTGGCATAACACATAATCACGATCTCATTTTTGTTGAAAAGTTCGAAAAAAAAAAAAGGGAGGGTTCGATTCCCCCCCCATTAAGGCCAGCGACCGATCCTAAGTGGCATGACACATAATGACAATCTCAGTTTTGTTGAAAAGTTTGAAAAAAAAAAGGGGGAGGGTTCGATCCCCCCCCATTAAGGCCAGTGCCTGATCCTACGTTGCATTACACATAATCACGATCTTATTTTTGTTGAAAACTTCGAAAAAAAAAAGGGGGAGGGTTCGATCCCCCCCATTAAGGCCAGCGCCTGATCCTACGTGGCATTACACATAATGACAATCTCAATTTTGTTGAAAAGTTCAAAAAACAAAAAGGGGAGGGTTCGATCCCCGCCCGTTAAGGTCAGTGTCTGATCCTACGTGCCATTACACATAATCACGATCTTTGTTTTGTTGAAAAGTTCGAAAAAAAAAAGGGGGAGGGTTCGATCCCCCCCCTTTAAGGCCAGCGACCGATCCTACGTGGCATTACACATAATGACAATCTCATTTTTGTTGAAAAGTTCGAACTAAAAAAAAGGGGAGGGTCGGATCCCCCCCCCATTAAGGCCAGCGACCAATCCTACATGGCATTACACATAATGACAGCGACCGATCCTACGTGGCATAACACATAATGACAATCTCATTTTTTTTTGAAAAGTTCGAAAAAAAAAAGGAGGAGGGTTCGMTCCCCCCCCATTAAGGCCAGCGACCGATCCTACGTGGCATTACACGTAATGACAATCTCAGTTTTGTTGAAAAGTTCGAAAAAAAAAAAGGGAGGGTTCGATCCCCCCCCATTAAGGCCAGTGCCTGATCCTACGTGGCATTACACATAATCACGATCTCATTTTTGTTAAAAACTTCGAAAAAAAAAAGGGAGAGGGTTCGATCCCCCCCATTAAGGCCAGCGCCTAATCCTACGTGGTATTACACACAATGACAATCTCAGTTTTATTGAAAAGTTCGAAAAAAAAAAGGGGGAGGGTTCGATCCCCCCCCGCTAAAGCCAGTGCCTGATCCTACGTGGCATTACACATAATCACGATCTCAATTTTGTTGAGAAGTTCGAAAAAAAAAAGGGGGAGGGTTCGATCCCCCCCC